ATCCCTTTTTCAATCAGGTGAATGGGCGACTCTGCCTTCCCGGAGCTCCAAACGTAGATCAAAACGGGACCCAGTCCCATTTACTCTGCACCGAGATCCGCCGAGCCAAAGCGCCGGCAAAACCGCCACACTGGCCACAAGAGTCGCGCTGGCGACCCGTGGGGCTCCTCCGCTGGGAATCTCCTAGTCCTTGGGCAACAAAAATTCATCTGAAAGTGTGACGTCCTCTCTTTCTGTGCGCTTTCTCTGGGAGCTACAATCCTGAGCTGCTAGTGATCGGTCATCTTGGCTCTCTCCTTTTTTTTTAATTGAGATGGAATTTTGCTCTTGTTGCCCAGGCTGGAGTGCAATGGCATGATCTTGGCTCACCGCAACCTCTGCCTCCCGAGTAGCTGGGATTACAGGCATGCACTACCACACCCAGCTAATTTTTGTATTTTTTAGTAGAGATGGGATTTCACCAGGTTGGCCAGGCTGGTCTTTAACTCCTGACCTCAGGTGATCCACCTGCCTCAGCCTCCCAAAGTGCTGGGATTTCAGGCGTGAGCCACTCCACCCGGTCCCTACTCTCTCTCTTTTTTTTTTCCCTCCTCTCTTTTTAATTGTGATGTTTTAATTTACAGTGTAAGAGAGAAATGCATCTCTTAGGGTAATTGTAAACATACTTAACGTTTTGTCACTTATGGAACATCAGAAGGGTTTTTTTTCTACAATCAAGAATCATTTAGAAAATGACAATATTAAGTTCCTTGGAGCATTCTCGGTGCTACAAATCAACTTCCTTCCCCCTTTTTTTCTCTCCTGGAGTAGTCTACTTGCTTAACTACAGTAATTTAAAAGAAAGGCAGTTTACTTATCACTGACATTCTGGTTTCTCCTTTTTTTTTTTTTTTTGAGACGGAGTTTCACTCCTGTTACCAAGGCTGCAGTACAATGGCGCTATCTCAGCTCACCGCAACCTCGACCTCCTGGGTTCAAGCAATTCTCCTGCCTCAGCCTCCTGAGTAGCTGGGACTACAAGCATGTGCCACTGTGCCCAGCTAATTTTTGTATTTTTAGTAGAGACAGGGTTTCACCATGTTGACCAGGATGGTCTCGATCTCTTGACCTTGTGATCCACCCACCTCGGCGTCCCAAAGTGCTGAGATTGTAGGTGTGGGCCACTGTGACCCGCCTGGTTGCTCCTTTTAGGGGGGCTGATCACGCAGGCAAAGTGGCAGCATAGCTGTTCAGATATTCCAGTTGAGTTTTGGATCCACCCTTAAGAAGCACGAGAAATGAAGATAAGGGACTCCAGAGGTGATTTCTCTGGGTTACTGGCTGGAAGATTCAGGACAGCTAGTTTCTTTCATGGAGGCTGGTGGCCCAGGTTTACAGCTATGCAGGAAAGGGCGCTGTGCAGCCCTGGGTTACCTCAGCTCAATTCCCTAATCTACCTTTTCATTTCATTTCCCTACCCTCATCCCTAAAGCATTAATGATATAATAGTGAAAAGTTGCTAACATGCTAAGGGCTGCAGTGATGGATGTATTCCTTACTTAGGAGTCTTACTCTGATTGCATTTGTATGAAAATTATGGAGAGAGTAGAATCATGATTGTCATGATTGTTAATGTCAATAAAAAGTGGTATTGGGTTAAAAAAAAACAAAACACTACATTGAAAGTAGCAATAACTGGATTCTGCTGTCTTCTTCCAACCTTGAAAAAGACATATAACTTCTCTGCATGTCTCTTCTCTGAACCTGGGGAAATGTGTGTTTCCTGTGGCTGTTGTACAGATGAGGTAACTTATGTGAAGTGTTCTGAACTCCTTAAGGAACAATGTCAAAGCAATGAAATGCAGTACCATTATTACAGTAAAGATGGTGAGGAGGAGGAGAAGACAGATCTACATTTTCTTCCTTAATTTTGTAATCTTTCCAGATGCCGGTAGGTCCTTCTGAATCCATTCCCTGTTCCTTAGGTTGCACTGGTGGGGGATTCCATGCCAGGGGCAGAAAGGATGCTCTCTACCCTCTGAAACCATTCATCAGGAAGGCCTTGGTTGAGATGTGCTAGGAGAGCACAGTATCTGCAAATAGAAGGCACCTGTCTCCCTTCTGCAGTCTGAGGAGAGGCTGCCATGGACAATGTGCTTCATGGCTTGTCTACTCCTCTTTCACAGACCCTACAGCTTGGGGCCTGGGCTCCTCTGACCACCCTCACTGACAAAGGAAAGTGAGTCCAGAGAAGTTGATGCTTCCTACCTGTTGGAGCGGCCCAGCAGTATAAGCGTGTTTTTACTGTCCCATCCACCATGTCCTTCAGTGCCACCATTCTCTTCTCCCCTCCTAGTGGCAGCGAGGCCAGATGCCGCTGCTGCACCTGTAGGAGTGAGACTAGTGGGGGCAACGCAGGCTCCGAGGGCGGGAATCCTCCTCCTAGCACCCCCATCACAGTGACTGGACATGGCCTGGCTGTTCAGAGCTCGGAGCAACTCCTGCATATTATCTACCAGCGGGTGGATAAGGCAGTGGGTTTGGCTGAAGCCGCTCTGGGTCTTGCCAGGGCCAACAATGAGTTGTTAAAACGTCTCCAGGAGGAAGTGGGCGAGCTAAGGCAAGGGACAGTGTCCACCCCTGATGAAGATGGGGAAAGCCGGGCACATAGTTCCCCACCTGAGGAGCCTGGGCCTCTCAAGGAGAGTCCCGGGGAAGCCTTCAAGGCTCTGTCTGCCGTGGAAGAGGAGTGTGACAGCGTGGGCAGTGGCGTGCAGGTGGTGATTGAGGAGCTGCGGCAGCTGGGAGCAGCTTCGGTAGGGCCTGGGCCTTTGGACTTCCCAGCAACTCAGAAGGACATGCGGCTCCCGGGGTGCACGCTGGCTGCCAGCGAGGGCCCCCCCCTGCTCAATCCTGTGAGTATGGCAGCAGGGGCTGTTGCTCCTAAGTGCTTTTCCTGGCCTTTCACACTTTCTCCTTTCTCTTCTTTTCTTTCCATCTTTAAACCTTTTCTTTCCATTTGTGATAAACCAAGTTTCCATTTCCTTCAGGGATAGTCAGCTCTCATATTTTCTTCCTGAACCCTCAGCCTCTTTAGCAGAAGGTCATTTTTTGGTGTGTGTATAGTGATGGGGTACCCTTCCCTCTCTCTCAATAGCTCCGCATGGCACCTTCTCCTCCACAGCTGTCTCGGCTGCTCCATGGGCTCTGCCTCTCCCGGCGAGGATGCCTGCCGTGCACAGACGGCTCATTCATATTTTATCGCGGACCCTCTGCTTGCCAAGAGGAATTCAGTACAAAGAGAGATGGGAATGTACAGAGGAGAGAGGCAGAGGTGGAGAGAGGAGGAAGAAGTGAGAAGACAAAGATAAAGATAATAGAAGACAGTTAGAGGGATGGAAAGAGACAAGTAGAAATGAAGGGCTGAGGGAGGAGACAAAGTGAAAAAGGAAGCACAGAAGAAAGGCGAGTTTATGTGGAGACAGAATCTACACCACAGGAGAGAGACTATGAGGTAAGGCGGAAGGAGGTAGAGGAAAGGAAATAAAATGGGAAATGAGAAAAAGAAATGGCCAACTGAGTGCTAACAGTAAGAGAATAACATATAGGGAGAAAGAGGGAAGAAAAGAAGGAAGCAAGCAAACATATTTTGTGAGCAGGAAAAGACACGGATGCACATTGTGCTATTTCAGTTTCTTTACTGCTTAAGGGCCATATGAGCAGAAAAATCCTGGCTGAGTAGAGTAAGAACTGCAGAATGTCACACATGGAAGTATGAAAAGGAGATGGAGCAACTATAGAGATCTTAGAGATAGGAAAATAACAGATGTGATGCCACTTGAGAGACGGTGGGAGATCTATCAGCTCTCCTCCACCTTATTCTCCGTCTGCCCTCTCTTTTTCTCCTCCCCCTACAACAAGGCATAGACACCCAGTAAATAGTAAAGGAGCAGAACACACAGGGTAGATTGGAGGGATGAAAATCCCAGCCCATCTGCTGGATCTGAGAAATGAATACATAAACCCCCTTCTCTCGCTCCAGTGTAACACAGCAACTGGTCATTGCTCTCCTGAAGGCACAGCCATATGGGTAATGGCCACTGCTGCTCACCCCAGTCTGTGGCTGGTCAGGACTCTCAGTGATTCCAGCCCAAGGAAGGAGGACCTGGAAGGTGGGAGGCAGGAGGGTACCAGGCCAGGCATTGCCCTGAGCTGTGGGTTCTTTGAGGCTTCCAAACCGACAGGATGGAATTAGATTTCACAGTGCAGAAAGCAGCTCACAGGTCTATAAATCTCAGTCTCCTCCCCCGCTTCTTTCTCTGTGTGTGTTTGTGTGTGTGTATGTGTGTGTGTGTGTCCCCACTTTCACTGTTTTGTTTTCTTGACTGCAGAAATCCCCCCTCCTTTCTTCCTCTCTTTCCCTTGCTCCCTCCTTCCTTTCCCGGCTCTGTATGTCCTTGAGTGAGGGCACAGGCAATCAGGTAGATGTCAGGGGCTGTGACAGTCAAATGTGGCCAGGGTAGGATCAAGGTGAAGGCATGGGCTGACCCTGGGAATGGAGGGTAGGTGAGGGGAGCTGTCGCTGCCAGTCTCTCTAGGGATTTCTGACCTAATATATTCCTCATTTGCTCATTTTTCTTTTATGTCTCTTTATTGTTATTACTGTTTTAGTTTTTTACTCCTTCTCTTGCTTGATTTCTTTCTTGTCATCATTTCTTCTCTCAACCCTTTCAGACAAAACACTTACCCATCTACATTTCTTATATCCAAGAGCAATCCATAAAAGACTATTCACAAACAGTGTCAGAAACACGCTTTTTCCTTGTGAGCAGCCCTACAGTAACAACCCAACACAAGAGACCTTGTACACACAAGTATTTGCCCAACACTCATAGGAGTCCCAGAGAAACAAGCCATTGACCATTAAAGACTGTGTTAGAGTCCCCGCTTCTTTCTACTTTCTGTTCAATATCCTTAGCCAAAGAATGATGGTTAAGCAGGTTCCCCTAAGCCTACCTGGCTAATAGGCTATTCTTTTTTATGTTCTTAGCTGGTGGATGATTATGTGGCCTCTGAGGGTGCAGTACAGCGAGTGCTGGTCCCTGCTTATGCCAAGCAACTCTCACCAGCTGCACAACTGGCAATCCAGCGGGCAACCTCAGAGACAGGACCAGAAAATGGAACCAAGCTGCCACCACCTCACCCTGAGGACATGCTCAATTCCGCTGCTGCGCTGGACAGTGCCTTGGAAGAGTCAGGCCCTGGGAGCACTGGGGAGCTGAGACACTCTCTAGGGCTAACCGTTTCCCCATGCAGGACCAGAAGAAGTGGGCAGAAGAACTCCAGGCGCAAGCGGGATCTGGTACTTTCTGTGAGTGAGCTCAATTTCTATAAATTTTTCTTCAGTCTGGAGAGATAAGTGAAGAATGAAGGGTGGGTTGATTTTAGGCCTCCCATATTGAATGAATGCTATACTGAATCCTACCGGAGTGGGAGGGACAAGGAGAGAGGTTATTCCGTAACACCAGGGATTGGAAGTCCCCTGCTAAATATCAAACTTTTAGGCTTTTCTAGATAATGTGATATCTTCCTTTATATCATATCTCCCGATGTTTTTTCTTTCTTTCTTTTTCTTTTTTTTTTTTTTTCTTGAGATAAAGTCTCGCTTTGTCTCCCAGGCTGGAGTGCAATGGCACAATCTCGGCTCACTGCAACCTCTGCCTCCCAGGTTCAAGCAATTCTCCTCCCTCAGCCTCCTGAGTAGCTGGAATTACAGGTGCCTGCCACCAGGCCCAGCTGATTTTTGTATTTTTAGTAGAGACTGGGTTTTACCATGTTGGCCAGACTGGTCTCAAACTCCTGACCTCAGGTGATCCACCCACCTTGGCCTCCCAAAGTAGTGGGATTACAGGCATGAGCCACCGTGCCTGGCCTTCCCAGTGTTCTAATAATCCTGATGAGAAGATCTTTAAGGGATTGAGCAGATTGATCACCAAAGGGTAACTCTGGAAATTGCCTGCAAATTAAGCTAGTGTGCAGAGTAAGCGGCAAGTGCCCTTGGGTGGAAAAGCAAGTAAAGCTGTCCTGAGGTAGTCTCAAGCTTCAAAGATGCAGAGTCACTAGACCTTCAGCTCAGTTATAGGATTTGGAGATTCCAGTCATTCTAAGAGCTCTTAGCTAGGAAGGGACTGGCCTGAACAGGTCTGCCTGAAACCTTGTTGGAGTGGCTGGGAGCCAGGAGAACATCCTGCTGAGCTGGGAGTCACCAGCCTGACAGCTGACCAAACCTAGAGAACTTCTAGGGCAGTAGTTCTCAACCTGGAGTGATTTTGCCCCCAAGGGACATTTGGAAACATCTGGAGATATTTGTGGTTATTACAACCGGTGGGTGGGTAGGGGCAGGGGAAGGAGAATGCTACTGACATCTAGTGGGTGTTCTGCTAAATATCCTACAGTGCACACAACAGCCCCATAACAATTATCCATCTCAAAATGCCAATAGTGAAGAAGCTGAGAAACCTTCTTTAAAGTGACCAACCTTAAAGGGATCAATTCTGTACCCAAAAGCTTTTTTTTTTCTTTCTTTCTTTCTTGAGATAGGGTCTCACTCCCATTGCCCAGGCTGGAATGTAGTGGTGTGATCAAGGCTCACTGCAGCTTCAACTTCCCAGGCTCAAGTGATCTCCCATTTCAGCCTCCCGAGTAGCTGGGATTATAGGCATGTACTACCACACCTGGCTAATTTTTTGTATTTTCAGTAGAGACAGAGTTTCACCATGTTGTCCAGGCTGGTCTCACAAAAGCTTCTTTCTGACAACCATGGGATATTGTTATTATTGTTATTTTGAAACAAAGCCTTGCTCGGTTGCCCAGGCTGGAGTACAGTGGCATGATCTCAGCGCACTGCAACCTCTGCCTCCTGGGTTCAATTGATTCTCTTGCCTCAGCCTCCCAAGTAGCTAGGATTATAGGCATGCACTACCACGCCTGGTATTTTAGTAGAGATGGGGTTTCGCCATGTTGGCCAGGCTGGTCATGAACTCCTGAGCTCAGGCATCTACCCACCTTGGCCTTTCGAAGTGTTGGGATTACAGGCGTGAGCCACTGTGCCCGGCTGGAGATATTCTTTCGCCATATAATGTTCTTATTGGCTGAAATGAGTTTATAGTTAGAATTCGCATAAAAGCAAGATTTTTCATCACTTCCATTCTACTTGTGCCTGCTGCCTCCAGAGAGAGGTACAGTTTTGAGGCCAGGCTTCTTCCTTCCCTTAGGAGAGTGGTGGAACTGAGGGCCTACAGGAAGGATAGTAATGCTCACTCACCATCATGCTTGAGAAGGATCTGGAGGACCAGTTAGGGAGTTTTGCTGCCCATCCCAAAGGAAGGTTTAAAATGTTCTTGTGGCAGACTGCGGGTTTAAAGGGGGAGGGACCGTTGTTCCAATCTTTAGCTCTGAGATGGAATCAAAGAGGCACCGCTCCAATTTTCTGGGGCTCTTGAGGATTGCTGCTAGGGATCCTGTAAACCAAAAGGATCAAACCAAAATTCTTAATACCTTGGAATGAGGCAGATCCCAGCCACTCCTTGGGAAAATATTTTTAGCTCATTCAGTAGGTAGGTGAGCCAAAAGCCTTTACAGTCCTCACACTTATTGTCTATAGTATTTTCCCTTTCCACATCAAGCCTGGTTTGATTTTTATCAGCTGATATCTTTCAAGCCACTTGAGTTGGAAACTATGTAACTCCCTTTTTTCCTTTTTTCTTTTTTTTTTTAAACTCTCCCAAATACTTTCTGAAACATTAACTGATTCCTTTGTGATTCCTTAAGTGTGGATTACTAAAAGGTAAAGTAACTATGTTGAATATGCAGCTAGCATAATAATGTCCTTTTTACAGAGTGGAGACCATAGCCAAAAAAAGTTAACAGTACTTTCTTAAGTTGGTATGGTCAATCAGCCATAGAGGTAGAAGGATAAATGGGGGATTTCTGAATATGGAGCTGAAAAATCCTCAGATCAGGATATGAATCTGTCAGTTTGGGACTGGGTAACTTCCACTGACTAAGGGAATTTGGGATGAAAATATAATCAGAAACAACACAGCTAAACTTAATTGAAGGAAATGTAAAACCCTGCATTAGGGCTGGGTAGGGTGGCTCACATCTGTAATCCCAGCACTCTGGGAGGCCAAGGTGGGCAAATCACCTGAGGTCGGGAGTTCGAGACTAGCCTGGCCAACATGGTCAAACTCTCTCTACTAAAAATACAAAAATTAGCTGGGTGTGGTGGCACGTGCCTGTAATCCCAGCGACTTGGGAGGCTAAGGTAAGAGAACCTCTTGGACCTGGGAGGTGGAGGTTGCAGTGAGCCGAGATTGCTGTACTCCAGCCTGGGCAAAAGAGCAAGACTCTGTTTCAATAAATAAATAAATAAATAAATATTTCAGGTGCTATTATGGGCAAAACTGGGAACAGATTTGAAGCATCTAAGGCAAAACTTTTTGACAAGTAGAAATGTTCAATAGTATAAGCTGACTCAAAATGGAGAGCCCATCATTAGATGTGTATAAGCAAAGCAGAGAGACAACCTGTTTAATGATGTGAAAGGGAGATTGGGTAATACAGTCTCCATGGTTCTTTCTGATTCACATTTCTGTTATTTTAGATTTCTGTTTTTTAGACCCTGGTGTATATACTCCTGAGATTTATGGTAACGCATGAGGAGATATATAAAACCACAGACAAACCCAGGGCTTTTTCCTGGGTCATCAACTTTATTAGAAGATTCCAGAAGATGGCTGGGCGTAGTGGCTCACGCCTGTAATCCCAGCACTTTGGGAGGCCGAGGTGGGTGGATCACGCGGTCAAGAGATCGAGAACATCCTGGGCAATACGGTCAAACCCTATCTCCACTAAAAATACAAAAATTAGCTGGGCATAGTGGCGCAAACCTATAGTCACGCTACTTGGGAGGCTGAGGCAGGAGAATTGCTTGAACCCTGGAGGTGGAGGTTGCAGTGAGCCAAGATCGCACTCCACCACACTCCAGCCTGGCAACAGAGTAAGACTGTTTCAAGAAAAAAAAAAAAAGAAGTTTCCAGAAGACATTTTTATATTAAAAGAAATACAGATACCTTCTGAAGAAAAACTTTAAGTGCGCAAGAGTAGGGGACTTCAAGAAATGTTCACTTGGCCAGTGTGGTGGCTCACACCTCTAATCCTAGCACTTTAGGAGGGAGAAGCAAGTGGATCACCTGAGCTCTGGAGTTCAAGACCAGCCTGGCCAACATGGTGAAACCTCATCTCTACAAAAAATTAGCCAGGCATGATGGCGAGTGCCCATAGTTCCAGCTACTTGGGAGGCTGAGGTGGGAGAATTGCATGAACCCAGGAGGCGGAGATTATAGTGAGCTGAGATCGCGCCATTGCACTCCAACCTGGGCAACAGAGTAAGACTCCATCTCAAAAAAACAAAAAAAAAGAAAGGAAAAAGAAATGTTCACTCGCAGTACTCCTGCTGATGTATACCTGCTTTCTCATTGCTATCAGGGGTATGTTCATGGAAATGTTTGAGACCCTCTGCTCTAGTGATCACACTACTCATGAGCGGAAGTAAGGCCAGGGATGATCCTGGAACCTTGACACACATCAAATGAAGGCTCCATTTGAAATAGTACCTTGGATAGGCTCTTGGCTTAGAAAGGGCATCTATAGAAATGGTACCTAGGCTATAGGAAGGATTCAGACAGAGAGTCCCTTAGGGACAATGCCTTTTTACCCTAGGTACCACAGGAGAGTTTTCATAATATCCACTCTTGGCTTGACTGTATTTTCTTTTTTTCCCCCTAGAAACTGGTCCACAATGTGCATAACCACATCACCAATGACAAGAGATTCAATGGGTCTGAAAGGTATGATCCCCTTAAGGAAAAAGAATGAGAAGGTTCTTTGCTAAGGACAGGGAAGTAGAGGGGGATGCTCCAATCCAGCAATGAGACTAAGGCTTTGATCTCGCCATACCTTTTTAGGCTGTGGAGGGATTTGCCACTAAGTTGATTGGTGCTGGGTATTTCTTCTTCTTCTTTTTTTTTTTTTTTTTTGAGACGGAGTTTCATTCTTGTTACCCAGGCTGGAGTGCAATGGCNGCAACCTCCGCCTCCTGGGTTCAGGCAATTCTCCTGCCTCAGCCTCCTGAGTAGCTGGGATTACAGGCATGCGCCACCATGCCCGGTGCTGGGTATTTCTATTTGTCTGGCTCTTACAAAACTGACAGCCTTATTCATTCTCTTCTCTTTGTGGCAGCATCAAGTCCTCTTGGAATATTTCAGTAGTGAAGTTTCTTCTGGAAAAGCTCAAGCAAGAGCTAGTGACCAGTCCCCACAATTACACTGATAAGGAGCTAAAAGGTGAGAAAAACGGGTTTAACTCCTATGCCATCCTTTATCCCCCTCTCCTCCCACTCCCTTTTCTTGGTCAGAGGAGAAGAGGAATAATAGAGATGATTTAGGTGGTTTTGAAAATAGTGGATTTGAAGCATTTTTTTGGTCGTTCTCACCTACAATATATTCATAGAATTATCTCAAATTGCCTGTTTATTTCCCTCTCTGTCTGAAATGAAAATGAGAGAAGGAAAGAGCTAGAACACCATCATGCATTCTGTTTATGCAGGTCTTGAATCTAAGGTGTTATGAGGAGGTGTTATGTTCAGAAGCCAGGCCTGCCCTTTGGTCCCTAAATATTATTTCCCAGGCTTTCTCTTTCCTTGCTCTCTTTTGTTATTTGTAGCTAACGCTGACATATTGTGAAAGCTTCTGCTGAAAAAGTGCTTGTAGGGCCAGCTACTGTAGCTCATTCCTGTAATCCCAGCACTTTGGGAGGCCATGGCAGGAGGATTGCTTGAGCCCAGAAGTTTGAGACTAGCAGGGGCAACATGGTGAAACCCCAGCTTTACCAAAAACAGACAAACAAAAATAACAAAAATTAACTGGGCGTAGTGGCATGTAGTCCTAGTTACTTGGGAGGCTGAGGTGGCAAGATTGCTCATGCCTGCGAGGCAGAGGTTGCAGTGAGCCAGATCATGCCACTGAACTCCAGCCTGGGCAACAAAGCCAAACCTTGTTTCAAAAAAAAAAAGAAAAAATACTTGTAATCATCCATCAGAGTGGCAATAGGGGTAGATTTTTTTTGTTCTTATTTTTAAATTTTTTTTGTTTTGAGATGGAGTCTCACTCTGTCACCTAGGCTGGAGTGCAGTGGCGCGATCTCGGCTCATTACAACCTCTGCCTCTCAAGTTCAAGCAGTTCTCCAGCCTCAGCCTCCTGAGTAGCTGGGATTACACATGTGTACCACCACGCCCGGCTAATTTTTGTGTTTTTAGTAGAGACGGGGTTTCATCATGTTAGGCTGGTCTCGAACTCCTGACCTCATGATCCACCCACCTTGGCCTCCCAAAGTGCTGGGATTACAGGTGTGAGCCACCATGCCAGGAGTTTAAAAAAAATTTTTTTTTTTTTTTTTGAGACGGAGTTTCATTCTTGTTACCCAGGCTGGAGTACAATGGTGCGATCTTGGCTTACCGCAACCTCTGCCTCCTGGGTTCAAGCAATTCTCCTGCCTCAGCCTCCCAAGTAGCTGGGACTACAGGCACGCACCACCATGCCCAGCTAATTTTTGTATTTTTAGTAGAGATGGGGTTTCACCTTGTTGAGCAGGATGGTCTCGATCTCTTGACCTCGTGATCCACCCACCTTGGCCTCCCAAAGTGCTGGGATTATAGGCTTGAGCCACCATGCCCAGCCTTAAAATTTTTTTTAAATAGAGACTGGGTCTCACTATGTTTCCCAGGCTGGTCTCAAACTCCTGCCTCAGCAGGAGGATTCCAACATTCCAAAATGTTGGAATTACAGGTGTGAGCCACCACAGCCAAAAAGGGGTAGGTTTTATTTGGTGGAGGAAGCAGGGAGACACAGAAGCAATCAATTGGAGTTGTCTTTTTCCAGTGGAAGATATTTGGGAGGAGTTAGTATTGGAGATGGAGGTGGGCAAAGAAAGCTAAACCAATTAGCCAGCCGTGGTGATGTGTACCTGTAGGCCCAGCTTCTCAGGAGGCTAAGGCTGGAGGATCACTAAAGCCCAGGAGTAAGAGGCTGCAGTGAGCTATGACCACACCACTGACCTCTAGCCTGGGCGACAGAGCAAGACCTTTTCTCTTAACAAAACCATAAAAAAATAAATAAAAAGAAAGCTAAACCAAAGAGGAGTGAATAGATGCTGATGGCTATGTCAAGAAAGCCCATCATCTATATAGTGATCCCCAACCTCCCATTCAGTAGTGTTAGGGCAGAAAAACAGGCTAAAGACCACTACTCTAGAGGACCCTGCTTCTTGCTTCCTTCCTTCCCTCCCTGCCAGGAGCCTGTGTGGCCTACTTCCTTACTAAAAGGCGTGAGTACCGCAACTCCCTGAACCCCTTTAAAGGCTTGAAGGAAAAAGAGGAGAAGAAACTTCGAAGTCGCCGATATCGGGTAGGTTTCTAGGCCTTTCTTTCAAGATGCTAACCTCTAAACCCTAATGTGCCACAGTGGGAAGGGCTAGAGGACAGGGCATCTGAGAATAGGGTTGAGAGTCAGGAATGTAGAGAGATAAGAAGCCAGTGCTAAGATCTGACTTGGGGACTGGGTTCTCTTAGGCACAGATTTTACATAGCCTTCCACACCAAACCTTTTCCCCAAATCTAATCCATAGAATGTTTATATTCCTAATCTATGTCCCTGGCTCCTACCTTAGCTTTTTGCCAACCGATCCAGTATCATGAGGCATTTTGGACCTGAGGATCAACGTCTGTGGAAGGATGTGACAGAGGAGCTGATGTCAGATGAAGAGGACAGTCTTAACGAGCCAGGTGTGTGGGTGGCCCGCCCTCCCCGTTTCCGGGCCCAGCGCCTCACAGAGCTCTGCTACCATCTGGATGCTAACTCTAAGCATGGCACCAAAGCCAACCGTGTGTATGGGCCCCCCTCAGACAGACTGCCTTCTGCTGAAGCCCAGCTTCTTCCACCAGAACTTTATAATCCTAATTTCCAAGAAGAGGAAGATGAGGGAGGAGATGAGAATGCATCTGTCTCCCCATCTTTTGACCAGCCCCACAAAACCTGCTGTCCTGACTTGAACTCATTCATTGAAATCAAGGTGGAAAAGGATGAATGAAATCTATAGCCAAGAATAACTCTGGCTCCCACCATGCCTCATGTCCCAGAAATAGGTGGCCATGGGGCTTCCCAAAATAATGAGATGCTCTGTGCAGTCTGAGAAAGCAAACTTGCCTCTTTTTTTTTTTTTTTTTTGAGACGGAGTTTCGCTCTTGTTGCCCAGGCTGGAGTGCAATGGCGCGATCTCGGCTCACCGCAACCTCCGCCTCC